CCCCAAAACCCCAAAACCCCAAAACCCCAAAACCCCATGTATATAAAATAATTGCATTTAGAGTAAGATTAATTTAAATAAGTTGATTTACATTCAATCATGATGATTTGATTCTTTGAATGATGCAAGTCTCATTGGGTTAACTTCATGTGTCTTTTCAAGAGCCTTATATTTGATTTTAATTAGTTGTTCCTTTCGTTTTAGATCCTCTTCTTTCTCTTAAGTGATTGTTTTGAGGTAGTTATCCTAGCTGAGGAAGTTGCTCTGACCTGTTGAGGAAATTAGTCTTTGCCATTCATAATCTTTTCTCTTCATCTTCTTAGAACCAGCTTCAACAAGAATATCAATGGGAATCATAACTGGCTCATCTCTTACTAAACCAACTGAAAAGTCAGTGTAACCTGCCTATACTCCATGTACAGAGACATAACCTAACCTCCTGAAAATATTATCATTCGAGTATTGCTTACGAGCAAAGCACAGTATCGTCACAGTTAGCTTTGACTGATCGAATAGCATACATAGGGTCAAGATATTTAACAGTTAATTTAACATTGTGTTTTTCACTTGCATACTTTGACACATCATTCTTGATGAAAGCCCCAAGATCCTAAAACTTATTAATTGCAAACTATCTTACCATGCTTTTGATGTTTCCGGATTCATCCCTAATATCTTCCTAAATACCTAACTTTTCTCGGATCTTAGTTCTCTCTTCAGGTATAAGACCGTCTTCAGCTCCCTCAGCGATAACAACAACACAATGACCCTTTTAGGTTGCTCTTTCGATTATAGATTCGTAAACTCCCTCTGGACCTTCAAGTTAAAAATGAACTTCTGGAATTAAGCAAATATTAACATCTCTGCTAGCGAGCGATGAAGCCACTGCAATATATCCACAATATCTTCCCATTAACTTGACAATACCGACTCCATTCTCAGCAGCTTCAGCTTCAACATTAGCAGCATTAATAAATTGAACTGCCTCTTCACAAGCTGTTTAAAATCCAAATGATCTATCTATAAATGGAATATCATTATCTACAGTCTTTGGTATTCCAACTATAGAGATCTGCACATTCTAAGCCCTGAGCTCTTTTTATAGAGCCAATATACCTCTGTGTGTTCCATCACCTCCAATAATATATAACTGATTTATTTTCATCTTCAATAAGGAATCTAGGATATCTTAAGCCTTAAATCCACCTCTTGAAGAACCCAATATGGTACCTCCAAGATTTTGAATTCCATTAACCTTCTCTACATCTAACTCTACCCAGTTCTTTGGGAAATCTTCATAGAAACCTCTATATCCCCATTTGACTCCCCAGATTTTATCTACTTTATAGTCATGAGTTAGGCAATGAACTATTGATCTGATGACGACATTTAAGCCTGGACATAATCCGCCACAAGTTACTATGGCAGCTCTTACTTCAGTTGTATCAAAGTAAATAGTGCTCCTTGCTCCCGCTCTATGAAACTTCAAACTAGACTCTAGTTCAAGAGTATCCGTATAGAACTTCTCTTAGAGAACGAATGTACCATCTCTTACAAAACTCTCAGGCTAAAATCAGTATTGATGCAAATGTAAAACTTACTGGAAGGAAGTGTCTATCGTCATTAGTTAACTAGGCTGAACTCTCAGTAAGCGGTGATTCATAAGCCTTAATATTTCTAAAGAAGTCAGTAATGTGATTAACTTTGCAAATTTTGACCTCTGTTTGTTCAAGCAATTCATCAGCTAGACTGTAATTTATTAAACCAATGATTAATTTGACTTACTCTTATCTTTGAGCCACTAACTCCATCAATCTTTGAGAGTGCTTCTCCAAGAATTATTCCTAGATGCCAGATATACTTCTTAGTACATCATCTTTTATTTACTTGCTTTCCTTTTCAGCTTTCTTTACTGCTTTTCTTTATTTGCTCATAAAATTCTTAGCAACTGTGAAAGTACCAGCACCTAATATAGCACCAAGTACTAATAGAGCTAGCTTATTTTTCCCATGATCGTCTGATAGTGAAGTCATTAGATATATTTTTAATTTTCTAGTCTTAATTTATAATAATAATAGTAATTAATTTAATGAGCTTACCTGACGATAGAACATTTTTTACAGGTCACTATCACAGCTACAAATGGAACAAAAAGCTATGTTTTGAGGCTAGAGATAGTTTATTTGAATGCGCTGATTAATAAGAGAACAGCAATAAGTACAGATGCCCAGACCAGCTCTATGCCTATGAGATGTGGTGCCCCCCTGATTTTAGAAAGGTTCACTCAAGTTTGAGAAGAAAGCATAAGATTGATGATCAAGTTTACGATGCCGAAAGTCTCAGAAAAATAAATACCAGCAAATAAATCATATCTACAAATCATGTTGCAACCTACTGAGAAGATATCCCAGATAACATTTAGACTGAAAATGAAAGATGATTAAGGCATTAGTCATCTATCATGAGAGTGAATAATCAAGCTAACTAAACAATTAACTAATTTAATTTGATCTTCTTTTCTCAAATTTTAATTACTTAATCTAATTGAGTTCTAATTATGATTTTACTCTAATTAAAGTAGTTATTAATTCAAATTTAAATATGAAGAATTACTACAATCAACAGCAGCAATAGCAGTAATACGGACTTAATACATCCCAACTAAATAACAATGCTCTCCAAACAATCACCAATCTGCAAACCTCTCCCTTCTCTGGAGCATCTAGACAATAGCAATAATACAATATAAGTTCTCGTAAGTATTGAATTAAACTTTATTTCTACCATGATTGATTCTAAAATATTTTCAGCAATTAATGAGAAATTGTCAAAGACTCAGGCTTCAATTAGATAGCAAGATCAAGTAAGTATTTGGTATTAATTCATCTAATATAGAATGACACTACTATTAGTAAAATTGGGTAGCTTGAGATAATGGACTCAAGATTGATGACTATCGATGGAAGTATCAATTCAGTGTAGGACAAGTATTAAAAGAAATTCAACGAGTATAAAGAGCAGGTATTCTCATTTATCCGCATTTAAATATAATTCATATAAATATATAGATAAATCTGATAAGTTAGTTGATTGAAGAGGACAAATAATACAAGGAGTAGCTTGCAGAAATTAAAGCATAAGAGATAAAGTCACTTGAATAGAAAGTATTCGAAAGATTCGATCAAGAAGCTGCTGTAAGGAATATCATTAATTAATCCATACATAGCAAAGAAAAGATCTTGAGAAGAGACTCTTACAGATGATTGATCAAAGAGTAAATTTATTGAGAGCTGATATTGGAAGAGAATCCAAGACTAGATATGAAAGTATTGAACATCTTGAAAACTGCCTTGAAGTATTTATAATTTATTTATATATTTTAGAACGATTTCCCTAAACTGCAAGAAGAAATAAGGAATGAATCTAATGATAGAGAAGAGCTTGATAACACTTTAATTAAAAAGATTAACGAGGAAAGCCAGAAATTAGTTGAGACTATTTAGGGCGAGAAGAAGGCTAGGGAAGAGACTGAGGAGTCAATACTAGAGTTGCTTAGAGATATGGTTAACAGAATTAAAGCTGAACTTGAAAATGAAAAGAAGGAAAGAGAAAGTAGCGAGGAGACTTTATTATCTCTGCTTGAGGAAACCTGCACCAAGCTAAATACTGCTACTCTTATTTGAGTGGGTTTATAGAAAATATCTCTTGGAAGGATAGAATACTTCATAGTTTATGCCTAAATTTTATAATTAATCATTGTAATATTTTATATCATCTTTTCAAATTATATTAGTACCAAAATCAATTTAGGGGTTTTGGGGTTTTGGGGTTTTGGGG